AATGCTGCTTCGCACGCCCAAGTTTCTCGGTACTGCTCGGCGGTGGGGTAATATATATGGAGATTTGATCCGTTTCACGCTCTGAGAGTTGGATCGGATCTAAGCTCTTTTAGCGAGTAGCTTACCAGACCAATAGTAAGTTGTTTAGTCCGCAACGACGACAACGACGAACTATTCGACGATTCCGCCCGAGGAACAGCTGAGACGAAATTTCTCATTATTCATCAGCCATCCATTGACCGGTATCGATCCCTTGGTCCACCAAACGGGCTAACTCCTCTCAAGTTCCCTGGGAGATCGTACGAAGGTAAATAAACAACGTCATCGAGTAAAGCGAAACGCGTCCGGATTACGACTTCGCAAGAGGCTTCTCGAATCGTGAAGAGCTACACAGGTCGGAAATGATTTCGTGTCCTGCGACCGGGCAGGCGGCCTCTAGATCACTTCTCCCGAATCACTATCGTGACGTCGCGGAAGGGCGCGACGACAGTACCGACTCTATACGGGAGCAGATATCGAGTATTGTCATCGATGTCGCGATGAGAACGATATCCTGAAACATTCACGGCGGTGAAGGAAACACGTTTTCCGTGGATGGCGGTGATCATGCACCGTTCGTGGAATCACGGCTGAAGGAATTCCCATCGACCTCTACCACAATCGGCCGACCGGCTTGGCGAGTCGTCCGTTCGTGCGTTTGTCGTTCCTTCGTCCGTTTGTGCGTTTGTCGTTCATTCGTCCATCGCTCGCTCGTTCTTTCGTCCTACGGTTTGTCCGCTTTGTCCGTTTGGTGGGATAGAGTGAGCGTGTTCGAGAGCAGACCGCGCCACGGCAACCTCGGAGAATTGTCTGCAGTTCTTGAAGTGCTCCGAGCTACGTCTCATTGCCCGAGTCCCCTGTGACTTCGGGGGTGTTCGTTCCGAGCTCCGCGTATCTAGAAAGAGCTGTAGAGGGTCGTTGTTCTGCAGTACGGCTCGATGGAAGGCGAGCGGCGGGACGGTCACTTGCTCCCTGGTCGGTTTAGTCTCCATTGTTGCTCGAATGCCTGTAACTTTCCCTTCATCGACGCACGACAGCGGGCAAACGTTTCCACCAGTGGTAGGACGGGAAGGGAACAAATTTCAGCAGAGGAGGGGGCTAGCGGACGATAGAACGATCGAATGCATGGATGACTTGAACAGTAGCTGGACAGGTATAAAGATGAGAGGCAGGCGGCACGAAGAAAACCATGCGCCTGTTTACCCCGAGCAGGGTTCTCCTGAAACGTCTGCTGATCAAACAAACATGAGTGAGGGACTTGGCAAGCGACCTGGCCTACGAGCCCATCGTCCTCTGGAGCCCGGACGAATGCAGCGACGTGTATAAACGGAATGGACGCGTCGGGCGCGCTGCCACAGCAGCAGTGAGGGGCGATACGTTTCGTGTTTCAACTGAGAAATGATTCGCTCCGAGGTTTGTCTTCTAACAAAGGTCTTTGTGGTAGCAGTTGCGGCATTGGCCCTTTGGAGCGATGTCTACGAGAAAGAATCGACGAGCGAATGTGTCAGTCCTCAGTCCGCTCGTCGGGCTGACTGCAGCAGGGAAAAAATGACTTTCTGAACCGAACTCCGTCGCTTCATTAGCCTCTGCTCTGAGGAATAATATGAAAATGACAATGTTGTAGATACATATTAAACTATACTACTAATAATAATATGATGGTATGATCAATATGAAGAGCTTTGCCCCGACGCCACGTCCGCTAGCCTGTTCGCCTCCCCCGCGTCTGCTCGCTATGCTTGATTCTCTTGTTCTACCTTGGTCCTGCGGTTCTCGAATTCTTCTCCCGCGCAGGATTCCCCTCGAAGTCCTAAATTTTGCCCGGTACCCCTTACGGTGTCATTCGGATAGTACTTTTCGAGAATATTCTTTCGAAGGATCACAACATAACCGATATTCTCCAACCCTCGGGACCCTTGGGAACGGGATCCGGAACCCCTTTCGAAATACTAGGACCCCCTTCCGGGAACCCCTGCCTCAGTTGGTCTCTGTCTGAGTTGTCGGAGTTGTCTCCTTCCTGTAACTGCCTTTACAACCAGCAACGGCGGAGACACTCGTTCGTCGCTGATAGCACAAGATACGCAGGACCATCAGCAGCAGAGGGTTTCCATATCGATCCGCGCATCCCGTTGTGCTTGCCTTCAGAACAAGCTTATTTCGCCAACGATTCCTGGGCGGAGGAGGATCGGTACTCATCGTTATCCAAACTGAACACTGCATCTTCCCGAATCGAATCCAACACCGTCAGCTCCATTGCGATCCATTAATTTGCCCCGCCGAGATGTATCCTCAAATTCCTCCTGGGTCACCCCGCATCCGGGTCGAGTTGGTTCGATGGCCGACAGTCCGCCATTTATAAGCTGCTGCATCGGTTGGCGGTCGACTGGAACCGCCCTCCGACCGATTGGTTTCCGACCGTCCCAACCGATTCTGATGGAGGGAACAGACAGCAAGGTGAAGGAAGCCCATTTCCGGCAACTGGCAGCAAGCACCTTTCCGAAATTTCTCATTCCCCCCGATCTGGCCTGTCGCGTCATGAAGAAGTCAGGACAATGCTCTCCGCTTCACTTCCCGGCTTTGCCTCGGGAAGCGATACGGTCGGAATGCTTGCCAGTCAAATTCCTCGGCTACTGTTCCGTTCATTCTCCGGCTGATTGTGAGTCGAAGCCACTCTCGAGCAATCCTTCGTCCCGCCCTTGCTTCATTCTTTTCTTCGCTGGCAAACATGGCGTTTCTCGGATGGCTTGGTGGTACGTTGCCAGCGCTGCTAGCCCGCACGGCCAGATGGAAGCGGTAGCGGGAAGTAATGCGTAGGACATTCAAATTTCGAGTTATGTATGGAGATCCATCGCTCCGCTGCTGTTCACGTCCGCGAGGGAGCCAAGAGGGAGCCGGCAAACTACTTTGAACGCTCGAGGTCGAGTACGGACTAAGCTGTGGTGAGACGACGTTTTCTTGGCCCGCACGACTTTGAGTAATGAGTGCGCATTGAGTAGGAAAGCTGACGACGGAGATGTCGGAGGGAGCGGAGCCATCTTTTCAGCAACGGCATTCATTCGATCGAAACTAGAAATTTTTTATTGCGCCCCCGAGAATCGTCTTCTAAGCTCTACTCGCTTCTGTGGTCCACCGACCGGTCGAAGTTCATCGAGAATATCGAAGAGAGTCCAACGGAAGGAATCGCTTGGACAGCACTCGCGAATCCTCTTGGATTCATCGTCACCGTTTTCCGCTCATGCAGCGGTCGCATGCGACAGGGCAGATCGCTCTTACTCGCACGCCTGATTAGTGCTGAAAAAATTGAGCGACAGGACCAGGCGTACCCGGACGCGGCTCCTATGGGGTGGAAGAGAATTTGCTTGTGCGTGAACCTTGGCATTCGTTCTTCCGGACGATGCCATTGCATAAGCGAACGAGGCTCCTATCCCGCGTACATACCAGCCTTCGATTCGGAACTCATGGACGGTGTCATACGATCGTTGCATTCGGCTAGTCGAGAGATTGCTGATCGGACCAACTTCCGGGATGAAAGGCTCTTGGAGACGAAAGTCGCTCAAGTCCGCCAAGTTTTCCGCCAACGAAAATCGGATCGGTGACAGGTCGACTTTGCTGCTTGATTAGGGGGGGAAGATGGGTGAATTCCTCGGTAATCGGGCAGCAGAACAATATCGCGTGAAGATTTCCCAAGTTACGTTTCCAACATCGCTGTGATTTAATTCACAGTCGATGCTCGGATCACTATCGGGACGGTCGATCAGGGCTTAGCGGAGCATTTTTGAAAGGAGCCCTCACCGTGAAATCCAACGTTCAACGCTCGACGCCCTCGGTGGCTGAACATAGTATGAGCTTTCTGGCGGTCGCGTTGACCCCCCTGTTCCGTATGCCGGGCTGTGTCTCTTGCTCGATTGTCGCGTCGGCCCAGAGAATCCACTGTGGAGCTGACCAAGTGACTGATTGGTTATTTAGCTACTCAGATGACCAGCTGTCAGGAATTCCGCCGAGGGCGGTGTTCTTCCGGCTTGGCTCCGACCAAAACAGAGGAGCGGGGTAAGGTGGCCGGGGAAACGGGACAAGTGATCTGTGATCGATGCGACAAATCGCTTCATCTTCCTCCGACGTTCTTGTTATTGCCCTGGTCCCCGATCTCTCCGATATGATTCGAGCTCGTCCGGCTATCATTCATCGATCGATGGATCGATCGAGCCGACAATGCTATGGCCTCGGCTCAATCTGATAGACGAGTGCGCACTCGTCCATCTGTCGATGAGACAACGAGACGGCGCTCAAGTCAAACGTCCGTCGCAATGGTCATTCAGCGAATAGGATGGAACGACTTGAGCTCCGCGAGCTGTCTCATCCCATTGACATAGGGGAGACCAACCATTCATGCAATGCCCGTCCATTGGTGCGTCCTCGACCGGTACGAAGTCGTCGTCTCACTCGCCGCCCGGCCGCACTGCTCTCCCGCTACCCAGCCAACCGACTCGACCGGGATAAGGATATCGTTACTCTTCGCCGCCGCCAGTCATTTTTCTCCTTGCCTCCGGAGTAAGTTTTGAAGGAGTCGCGGAACGGGTCTGGGTCAACGCTCAGCCAATTTTTCCGTTCTCGGGACTATGAACGGACTCGGTCTGTTGGTCCGGAAAGAATTAGCCCATCCCGAGTGAGCGAGCGAGCCAGCCAGCGAGTTGGTCGCTCTGCTGACCAGCTCCGGCCGCGAACTGCGGCTGTCCCAGCTCGCCGGGCGCACGGTCCGGCCGGCCGGCTGGTGGGTTGGCACCGCTCAGACAGGCGGACTCCGGAGAAAGTGTGCCGCCCGGACTGAATAGGTGTCTGAAGGCTTAGTTGGGGAAGTCTCGCTCGGTCCGTAGGCCCGGGGGCTGACTAGCGTGGCCGCTATTTGCATTTCCCATTTCCGAGATCCATTTTTATCTCAACGTATCATCACCCCTCAGAACGGGATGATACGCTTCTGTAGGGTCGACGAAAAGAGCGTTCTCTACCTTCGTTCGCCGAGAGATGCACCTGAGATCCTCCTGGGGCAGTTCCCGTTCTGCACTTATGTTTTTGAGTTGCTTGTGATCTTGACGATGCTTCTGCATTTCCTCTCTGGTTATATCAGTTTCAAAGGTCAAGCTTGTCACGCACTTATCGCCTGCTTTCAAATCGACAATCGCGCCGTCGATAGCTCAATGTTTAATGGGGCGTTTTCTTCCAGCGCTGGAAACGGAGGTACTTTCGACTCAAGCCTAGAAGGCTCTACTATGCCAAGGATAGCAAGGTCAGTACACCCCTAGGTACCTACACGAACAGTTCGTGAATCAAAGAGAGACGTCTGCGTCGAGCTAGCGGCAATCATGACGGAATATACATATATCGTATTTATGGGCGACTTTCGCCTCCACTAACAAGATGAGTAGTCGTTAAGGCCTTGTCGAGGCTTCTTGGAGGCTCTCATTCGGCTGCCAAAAAGAGCAGAGAATGGAAGTGTAAGTGGATAACACAGGACAGCCTCAGCATTTCTTCTGCGCCCGATCTGAGCGGACTCTCATGAGTGAACGAATCGCGGGACACCTGGGGGCCGAGCGAGTCGCTCGGGCAAACAACGGGGACCGAATCTAAATCGAGTGCACGCAAACGACGAGAGTTTAGCGGCGGCACAGGCAACCGAGCGGGAGAGGAGACTCGTTCGCGAGAGTTTTGGGCCTTGTAATGTATTTCGGGCTCGCTAAATGTAGGACGACAGCGAGCTTTCTCCACCTGCTGCTGCTGCTGCACCAGGTACAGCTGCAGTTGGAGAAGGCCCTGGGCGAGGTTGAGCAAGCGAGCAAACAAGCTGCTCCGGGCTCGCGAGTCGACAGACCAGCAGACACAAACTCGCGGCGATGGCCAGAGCTGCAACAAGAGACAATGCATCGATAAGGAGCAAACAAAGGCAGCTGCCGAAAGAGTCCAAGTGCCTGCCTCAGGAGGAACGCTTTTCCTGTTTTTCTCCGGAATCCGTCTCCTCTCACGTAAAATTTACGCGCATCGCCAAACCTCTGAGAAAATACGCTCAGGTCGTTAGCGGTGGCGATCCTCAGAGTCTGTTCCTGATGTTCTCTGGCGGCCTCCGCCGTTTACAGGGAGCATGGCATTTCAGATGCTTCACCCTCCGATAACTGGACTGAACGAAACAGTTCCGAGTTCTTTCGTTGTCGGCCCCTCGCGACGCTCACCTGTTTTTCGCCCTCCGTCCAACATCTTCAATCCCACCCGTTGTCCAGGGGAGAGGGCCGATGACGTCTACATATGCTTCGCTTTCGGGACGCCTCGGGCACATCGTCGACATATATCGGGACCATGGGGTGTCTCTGCGGCTGTCCGGCGGAGTCGCTGAAATAATTTCAGGCAGTGTCCGACGTGTTCTTCTGAAATCGCGATGCTCCAACCATTGAGTCTCGGGTGGAATGGTCGACCCGGATCTACTGGCAGCCACAATGTTATTCGTCGCTTAGAGCTCTACATACAAAATGAGATGGAACGCCTGCCCTCGGTCATTTTCAATTCTGTTTGACGGTTTTGAAGTCTCCAAGCGGAGCAGTCCGGGATCGTTCCTCTGCTCGATTGCATATGTAGTCGTCTACTCGCTCTTCTGTCGGACGAGACCGCTTTGCCATTCGAGATTGATAGGCGGAGAAGTCTTCCGCGAGCTTCCAATATCTCTGAGCCGGTCGATTGAGTCGACTTTGTGCGTCCGTGGTATCATGGTAAGACCCCGCACTAGGCCTTTTGTCTTACGGCCAACGAGTCCGTTTCCCGAGCAGCCCCGCGCACTCGCCATCGATTGGGCGCCCACCAAGCCGACTATGTAGATGACCCGCTGCTGGACCTCATTGAGAACTTCAGTCTGGTCGTCCGAGGAGACTTTTTCCTCAGCCGCGAGCTTCATCCTAGTCAATTGTGCGAGGTACTGTGTGCGCATCGGGAGAACCATCGACGGAGGGTCCGTTGGGAGTTGGGAAAACTCCCGCCCGATAGAATCAAAGCATCCATACTCCATATTACTCGGGCTACCCTTCTGTCTATTCCTCTCCGTAACGAGAAGAATATCCCGATTGGAACCTGATGCCCCCGATGTCGTATGGTGGACGGAGCAAAGCGGGAGCGCCACGTTGTGAGCGAGATCGGTCGTGGACGACGATGATGATGATGATGGGAGAAACGAGTCTCCGGAGCCAGCTACGGCGCGCTAAAATTGAGCTCGTGCTAGGTGTCCGTTTCTTCGTCGGTGTCGCCTATCAAACGTTAGAGTCGGGTAACATCTTGTTATCAGCGCGATTGGCACGCTGGGCAGTGCTCGTCTTCCTGCGTACACGGATGTTGCCGTGGACGCTATCTACCGAGGTGCGAGCGAGCGACCCAGGTTTGTCGGTCTGTGTTTGTTGGTCGCTCGCTCGGTCGATCGGTCGGTCAGTTGACGGTTTTGATCCTCTCGTCGCCGACGCAGCCGCTTGCCCGCCCCTGGTGTGTAAACAGGCGAACGAGCAGCCCTTGTGTTCACCTCGACCTCAGCTGAGCCGGATTTGCGGGGACCCTGCTTCCGTTGCCTGCTTCGGCTCGCGAGACGGCCACCGCGCTTTGGGCTTTCGACGGCCTTCCTATTGCTGCTGCCACCACCGCTGCTGCCGCAGCTCCCACTAGGTATCGTAGGTATGGTACCTATTGGTATAGTCGTGCAGGAGATAACGATTGCGCTCGATTAGCCCGCGGCCGTCCGGTGCGGTGGTTGAGTAGCTCGTACTGGGTGAGCGGGTCAGCCTGCAATGTACCATTTGAGGGAGCCGATGGAAGGCGGCATTGATGGTTATTTTGTCCCCTCGTTATCGTCGTAGCGGGCATTATATTCGTTTATGTTTCTTGCAGTCAGTGATCTACGAGGAGATTGCGCTGGTCGGCGTTTCGGTTGCCGAGTGTTCCACCCGCCACGGCGCCTCCGGTCTATCGCTCAACAGCTCGCCGCACGCTTTCACACTCATCACACCCTTGCGGCAATTGGTGCTGTGTGCGGATTCCAGAAAGCACATGGATGAGTGGATGAGTGCCCTAAAGGGCGTTTCGAACAAAGACTTCATCGAGGGACCGCCACAGAACGCACCACCGCCAACGCCGCCTCAAGGTGCATGCATCGACGATAATGCGGCCGAGCAGCAGCCACGACTACCGCAACTTGAAGATCTCAAGCTCCAGGGACAACACAGCTGGTAAGTTGACCAAAGACAGCACCCCGAACACGAGAACGAAACGAAGTACGGGCTGATTCGAGCTTTCGAAGAATCGACCGAGGCAGGTTTTCGGTCATCCTCTGGCCCTGGGGAGAAACTGTGAGAGCAAACCCACACGAGCTCGATTAATCTCTCGTCGGCTTTTCGCCGCAAAGCCACCTGCTCATAATACTAATCGCACCCTTATTCATAATCAGGTATGTTGCGTCGCATGCCAGGCCAACTTACTGTAACGTCTGTCGTGAAGCACTCTCTGGAGTTACTTTCCATGGACTTTCGTGCGAAGTGTGCAAGTTCAGGGCGCACAAGAGATGCGCCGCCGAGTCACCTAATAACTGCAAGTGGACAACGTTGGCATCGGTAATTAATTATATCGAATCTCGGGTTTTTTCGGCTGATCGTGGTCTTAAAGTCGAGTACTGCCGTCTGCTATCGGCCGGGTTCGTTTTCCAAGGACAGTCATCCTCCGGGCCGCTCTCGGGTTACTCCGGTGTCGGGGACGGCAGATGTTCGCTGCCGTCTCGCGCAGGTGGTGCGCTGGGCTAACTCCTCGGCTCATGACAGCTTTCGACGGCGGAGAACCATACTTTTCCGTCCTATGGTTTCAGGTGGGCTCAGAGGTGCTCGAAGACGATGAAGGCAATCCGACAATGCCGCATCAATGGGTGGAGGGCAACCTGCCCGTCAGCTCCAAATGTTGGGCCTGTGAGAAAGCCTGCGGGAGCGTCCTACGCTTGCTCGACTGGCGATGTCTCTGGTGTCGAGCGACAGTTCATACCGCTTGCAAACCAATTTTCAGCGTGCAGTGTCCTCTGGGAGTGTGTTGGGTGAGGAGCGGGAAGACGAGACTCAACGAGTTCCCGGAACTGTCGTCGACGGTATGATTGAAATTCTCCCTTCCCAGGTGTCCGTAGTTCCACCGATCTGCTTGCAACCAGCTTCGGCGGGTTCGAGCGCCGGACTCGATTGGTGGCGGGGATGTAAACCTCCCGGATGTTCCCCTCTACTTGTTTTCGTGAACTCCAAGTCTGGGGATAATCAGGTTAGTTTGGGCGCCGATTCGGTGCCGGATGCCGTCTCGATCGCCGCGCCAGTCGGTCTCACGCCTCGCTTCGATCCATGTGGTCCTCATTCCGGGAGAGGAAGCGGGCAATCGATGAGAGTGATTGACTGCGGGAGGACGAATATTTCCGGGAACATAATATGTGGGCCTCTGTTCCGCAGGGTGTGAAATTCCTCCGCCGCCTGAGACAGCTGCTGAACCCCGCGCAAGTCTTCGACCTGATGGCACCGAATGGAGGGCCCCTCTTGGGCTTGCAGCTGTTCAGTTCATTTCAAACGTTCCGAATACTTGTCTGCGGGGGAGACGGTTCTGTGAGCTGGGTGCTTAGTGAGATAGATCGGCTGAGGCTTCATAAACAATGCCAAATCGGTGAGTTCTTTGAGAAGAAAAACATCTCTTTCCGAGATTTCCTCTCGAATCTGCGTGAATTCCATCTGCTCGGTGGAACTTTGTCCATGGGGAGACGAACAACGAGCGAGCGAGCGAGGAACAATCTGTGTACCGCCTCCGAGGCATACCTCGTTGATGGAGCTGGCTTTCAATTCCAGGTGTCCTGCCTCTGGGTACCGGAAACGACCTGGCCCGTGTACTGGGCTGGGGATCAGTTTGTGATGACGATAACCAATTACCGCAGCTACTTGAAAAATACGAACGAGCAACGACCAAACTCCTCGATCGATGGAGTATCCTCACGTACGAAGGCAAGTTCGCTTCGAGTGCAGGCAATCCGGCCGTCAGATCGCTATAGGGAACAACGATTCATAATGATTCCCCCGCGCCCCTCAGGTCCTCTGCCAATGCCGAGAAAACTGTCTCAACCCTACCCGACGGAAGCGAGGGGAAAGTCAGAGCCTGCGCCAGATGCGGCAGTTGGGAAACGGGACCAATCAATGTCACGGTTGGAAGACTCGGTAGTCGATCATCTGTCGAAAATTCTCGAGTCCGATCAACATTGTGTTGTAAGTGCGGATGTATGTTACATATAATATTTAAGTGTTCGACGGGAAACGGTATTCCTCGGCAATTCAATCAGCGCGTCACGGTCGACGATGCAACGACCCATCGATCAGATAGATGAGCCGCGTTCTCAGACGTCTGCAACCCGCCTGGGCTCAGCGGCTGTACTCCGGAAAGCTCTGCAACTCTGTTGGTTGCTCATTTCAGGTGATATCATCTGCGCGCATTTTATGCGAAACAGTTCGCGATTTCATTCTAAAGGTGCAGTCGAAGACCGAGAGCAAGGAGATTGAGGACAAGTGCTCTGTTTTGAACGAGAAACTCGATAGTCTTCTGAAATCCCTTCATGAAGAAGAACAAGCGGAGACATCATTGGTCGCTACAAGCGGCGGCTCGCCTAATCATAAGCCGGAACAAGCAGAACAACAGAGGATAAGAGAGCCGTCGCCCTCGGGTCGACAAAACCCCACACAACCGCAGCAGCAGCAGCTATTGCAGCCACAACAGTACAACAGTAGTAATAATTCCGCAGTCGTACATCACCCTAGGAACAAGGTGAGTTAAGGCGGCAACCTGACCGCGTCTCATGAAATATCACGCGGTGGGGGAGCTCCGCCTTGTCGTCGCTCACAGACGTCTCCGCTCAGCTCTGATCGATGCGAAAGTTTCCAGCCCGATCATCCACAGGGAGATTCGGAATAGCGGACTCGGGGAAAGGGGTAGGGAGAATGGGATGGGGACGACGGGGAGGCGCTCCCGCTGATTACGCCTTTCCTCCTCAAGCTCTTAACCAAGAACTCTTTCTCTGACAGTCCGCCATCCTACAGAGAGGAGCGCTCATGTGCAGAGCCAACAGCTTGAAAAAAGCTCTGCGGCAAATTATCGAGCACACCGAGCGAGCTGTCGATGAACAGAACGCATTGCCCGGTGATTGGAGAGTTCCGAACTCTTGCGCGTCTCGTCGAGAGTCCAGTAGTAACTCCTCATCGGCTAACAAATCCCCAAAACATCGAGGTGGGTCTCCGCGGTTGCATGGGATCGCTGTCGAGTCTAGCTTAGCTGCCTTCACGAATCACTGTCCTGTCCTTGTCGCTCGGGAAGGCCCCTTCTTCCTCTGTTCTGTCCCTTCCTCTGTCAGTCGCTCGTGGACTATATCTCGCTTCGATTCCGGACCTCGCTCTGCTGCAGAACGATCTTGATTGTCGAAACGCTCGCCGCCTACATGTCGATCGACCGGCGCAACGATCGATCGATCCATCGATCGTCCGATCCTCCGGCAGATGAACGGACGGATATGTGTACACAGGAAGAGCTCGTTCCTCCCGAAAACTAATATCCCTCCTGTGACTGCTTTCCTGCTTATCCTCTTTTTCCGCCTCCCGGCTGAGCTATCCGGAAGATCCCGAATCCTCCGACCCGGGCGAATTCAGTCGCAAGTGAGCCAGTTGGATTTTCGTTGTCTCAATTCCCAGGGTATTCCTCACCTTGCGAAGAGGCGTCCTCGACGAGCGTGGGTACTTCTGGAAGACCTCACTCTCTGCCGATACTTGAGACAACCCCCGATTCTCCTCAAACTACTTACGCGTCCGGGTCGGAAAATATGACGAACGCAGATTTTGCCGAGAAGTCTCTCCTGCAGCTGAACTCACCCACGGCTTCGCGGCGCATCTCGAGTGGGTCAACATTGAAACACATCGGTAACTTCGGTCTACAGTTGGCGGTGACTCCTTCGTTCGGTGAGTCCATGCCCCGAATCAAAGACTTACTCGCGGTGAGAGCGACAGTGGCAGCGGCGGCAACAGAAGCAGCAGCAGCATCGACGACGCCGATGTCGGCGACGACTTCTACAGCGATGTCGGCGAACAATATGCGCCGGACTTGATGTTTCACTGTTTTTTATGTTGTTCGTCCGTACCATGCGCACCGTAACCAATCGTGTCCGGGAGAAATGGGAGCGAAGGCATCATCGATGGTAGAGATCGTCTAACGCAACTCTTTCCGTTATAGGAGGTGGTAGTAGCAGTCCCGGCGGACTACTTTCAGGGGGCGCTCGTTCGCCGGAAGATGTCGATAGGCGAATGTTCCCCATTATCAATCCGTTGGCGTCTCTTCCCGCATGGCCCAACCTCGCCGGCGAAAGTAGCCTTGTTGGCAAGGCGCTTCTAGCCAACGCAGACGCCCTCTGCGCCGCGGCCTCTCCACTCATGGATATTGATGATATGAATATGTAGGTTTCGTTCCGCTTTTATAATTAGGCGTAGAAACTTTCCAAACCATCGCGGCCGAACGCCAAGCTTGCGTGCTTGTTCACAGTTTCCCGCGAACGGATCAAAGCCCAGTTCGGAGGGAATTATCCGAATTGATGATACGGCACCCTATCCTGTCGATCATCAGCGCTTCTCGGGAGGGCCATCCGCACCGCAGATTCGATTTCTCCTCTCTGGAGTCTCGGTGTCGAATAATTGCCGAGAATGACTATCTAGCCGTTCCTTTTCAGGGACTGTTTCCAAGAGAAGTGCGTCATGAACAACTACTTCGGAATTGGATTGGATGCCAAAATCGCTTTAGAGTTTCATAACAAACGGGAGGAACATCCCGAAAAATGTCGGTCACGCACCAAGAACCTTATGTGGTGAGTACGAGTGAGATGCATTGCATTCCGCTGCATTGACGCTGAGAGAGGAAGAATCTTGTCACAGGGGGTCGGAGTCGATCGGTTCGGTGGGAGGAACAGGGAAAGGAGGGCGGGAAGGTGTTCGAGCCCACAAAAAATACCTGAGGCGTAATAGAATCTGCAGTTATGATATCCTTCCCTGCCAACAGGTATGGAGTGTTGGGAGGCCGAGAACTATTGAACAAAACTTATAAGAATCTGGAACAGCGCGTTCACTTGGAATGCGATGGCCACCGTATCGCGTTGCCTTCATTACAAGGTGGGTATCCGTGACCGTCGATTAGGTCTCAAGTCAAAGCGAATATTCCCGACCGCGGGTGAATAGAGCCGGGCTCGAGGGGCGAGTTGCCCGACGCGTCAAGCCGAAGTCAATCGAGGAAATTCGCTGGATAGTTGGCTTGCTCCCTCCAGGTATCGTCGTTCTCAATATCCCATCGTATGGCGGCGGATCGAATTTTTGGGGCGGAAGCAAAGAGGACGATGTGTTTTTCGCGCCAGCCATGGATGACAAGATACTCGAAGTGGTGGCGGTGTTCGGCACGGTGCAAATGGCGGCTTCGCGAGTGATAAATCTCCAACATCATCGGATAGCTCAATGTCGCTCAGTCAGAATCACCATAACTGGTAGGATTTGCTATTCGCTGTCGAGGATGACTCCTCTGATCGTCCCCGGTCCTCTCAATTTCCGCAATGGAGAGACAGGAACCGTGCGAGTATCGGATCGCGCCGCGGAGCGCACTCCGCGACTCGATCGAAACCAGCCCCGGTGAGAGAGCCCTCGAATTTTTACAGGATCCGAAGGAGTTCCAGTCCAGGTCGACGGTGAAGCTTGGCTTCAACCTCCCGGGTGTGTTTGCATTCAGCATAAGAACCGAACCCAAATATTGTGCCGGAACCGCCAGTTCGAATCCTCGCTGAAGAGTTGGAACGAAAAGCAACGTCGGCCGTCTTCCGGTGAGCTTCTCGTTGTTCGATGGGACTCGTTCTTTAATGGTTCCGCACACTCGAACAATCGCGAGCGTGGAATGAGCTCTCGTATCTCTGCATTGGAGTTGTATCTCTGTATTGATTATTTGCTACGCACCGTTTCACAGGGAGTCAAGCCGGCAGTAAAGGAGCTTCGAGCGTAGTCCCCACACAGTCGAGACAGTCATCTCCGCCCCATGCGCCGGCGACACCAGCGTCCGAAGGCGGACCTCTCTCGGAAGAGGAAGCCCAACACTTGTCCACGTTCATAGACGCCGCTTCACAACTGGTTCAAGTGTGAGTTAATGCCTTAAAGTTCCCACGCAATCCACCGACAATCGGATGATGTTAGTTTATTTTTGTTCGCTTATTCGAATTACCTTCTCCCTACTCCGTACTTGGATTTGAACATTCTCTAAGCGGGAGAAGGACGATCAAGACGAATCCTGACATGAGTCTCACAGAAACAGCGGGAACAGCAAGATCTAGTCGGATGTCTCGATTTTCGAAATCCCTCGTCAATACAATTCCTCGATTACAGCAGAGAACGCCCATCAACAGCCAAGAAAACGAGAACAGTTCTGTCTCCCCTGAGTCGTTTCGCATGTTGGAACTGCGCGTCTTCGAAAGCTAGAAGCCAAAAGGCTTTATCTACTGACGCTCTGGACCACATTACTCCTGATCCCAATCAGCTCATAGATAGGCGCAGCCATTCGGCTGCGAAACAAAAAAGCCCTGAAGGATCCAAGTCAGTTTAGGTGATTGAGTGCCGCTGAAGGATTCTCGGGGGAAATCGAGTCAAGAAAACCAAAAGCACCGAAATCAAATATCGTAATGGATAACGACTCTTCCACTCTGGAGTTGAACAGACGTGGAAGGGTAGCTCACGCGCACAGTCCACCCGACGATTCCCAAGCTAAGCCGACGAATAATCGTTGAGTCCTCTCGAATACTACAATGACAGACAATAAACTTAGTTGAGAACAGGCGAAATGTTTCCACGGGATGTACGATCAGTGAGTGAGTGGGTGAATGAGTGAGTGAGCGAGTGAGTAGAATCTTGGAGTTCCTCATAGCATACACGAGAAACGAGCTCGCTCTCTCTTTCCGAACACAAACCGCTCTTATCCAAGGTATTCATTTCCGTTTGATTTGTTTTATCCGCCTAATACTGATGTGTAATCATGTTTTTGTGGGGAGGAATTGAGTTCTCTGTACTTTTAATAAATTTCCTCCAACTTTCATTAAGGCTTTTTCCTCCACCCGCCTGATTTTCACCCCACTGACCTTGGTCTGATCACGTACATAGTAGACGAAATAACGTGTGTGAAGGGAATCACTGACTCGAGCTCAGGCTAACATCGCTTGCGATTGCTTCACCCTGCACGCTGCGCATCGAAAATTCTTCCGGCAACGTCAACCGTCGGAACAGGATTCAAACCATGTCCGAGAGCAACCCGGTCGTGGACAACGAATTGTGGCTTGCCGCCTCTCAAACAAATTCTCTTATTGAACGCTTTTTCCCAAATGGCCTTCAACCTTACGCCGGCGGGAGCAGCAGAGACAACGTGGTAGGTTGCTTCCTCCTCCACCCCTCTCTAGCGCCGTTCCGTTACTGTGATCCGCTTGTCCGAGTGTTGACTGTCTACGTCCGGGCGAAACACCAAAGACGAAACAGGCCCTGGCTGCGAACGATCGACAGCCTCCACGAAAAGCGACAACGAGCATTTGACCGAGAGAGCGGCTAATGACCTACCTCATGGAGATCTATGTACGGAGCTCCAAATTAAAAGGGCTCGGTCACTAATAGACAAATCCGATCGACTGAGTGAGGATACTCCTCGCTCCTCACTCGGCTCAGGATGCAGCGCTCGGATGAAAGATTTTGGGCTGTTGTATATTTCTATGCTGAGAGATGCTCCCTTCCTCGCGGGACGTGGTCGAATTCGGACAGATGTCTTATCCAGCGGAGCCGTGTCCCGACCAGGACAGTAGATACGAAAGTTTTGGCCTCGGCTGCATATCAAACGTTTCTCTATATAGCTAGCCGATCGAGCTTTCAAAATGTCGATCTTCCGAGCACAGGAACCTCCACAACGTCAACATTTCGGCGAATTGATAAGCTCAGCCAAACAACTTCAACTGGAGACGAAAATTTTCATCGGGGAAAAAATTGACAACGTGGTAAGTTCGACGCGGAATTCGCCGATTTCCACGGCTGGATCCTGTCGTGCCCGAACGGCTCTATGGACGATCACGAGGACTGATTACCTTTTCGCGGAATCCTCAGTCTCGTATGACTTCGGAACAAGAGGACGCGCTCGTGAGCGCCAGTGTGAGGTTGGAGAGCGAACTGAAACGCTGTCTCACTATTCGGACCTTGGCGCTATTCTACGACGTCGAGGTGAGTGGACTGCGGGAGACATTCGTATCCCATGGCCAAGAATCGAGAATACTCCTCCGAAACTCTCACCCGCCTCCGGACTGTACCTCTAGACCAACGCCACGCGAAAATCTCGTTTTCTCGAGAGCTGAGTGAATTTATACAGATACAGGAGCCATGCCTCCATTCTTGATATTTCAGGCGTTGATTTAGATAGGATGATGATAAGCTTAGAACGGCGCGACACAAAGTGAAAATCTTGATACAGTGGAACACATATTCAGAATCTTCTGACGCTTAGACTGCTGCCTCTGATGCTATCTCTGTCTCTATCTCGTGAGTCGTCTGCGGAGTCTGACTGAGCGCGACGCTGGAGACTATCTCTTTGTCGGACATTTCGATTTCCTCGTTCTTCTCTAGATTGTGTTTCACATCACCATTTTCTGCTACATCCACGCAAGAATCTTCTCTTTCTCGCACCTCTCGCACTTCTTCCCGGCTGCACACCCCGAACACTAGCGAGTAGACCAGCTGAGCACCTGACCACTTCCCGGAATAGGTGTCCTGACGTTTCATCCAGCTGCAGCCGTCGTTATCGCAGCCGTCGGCGGGAACGGAGCGCTCGTGCATGGGATCCCGTGATTCTCCATCTCTCGGCACAAATGTTCCATGCATTCTCTTTCCAGACTTTCCGGTCAGAGATTTTGAAATAATTTTCCCCCATTCTTTTTCAGCAACTATCAGTGGCCGATGAGAGCGCTCTATGTTCATCACGGAATACATCGAAATGTCGTCTCCCCATGTTCCGTTTCAAATTGCGTGCCCTCAAAGCGAGCTGTCTCGCACATTCCGAGACGGTTCCGCTTGCAAAGGTAAGGCAGGCAGGCGGGCAAGCAGGCGGCCAGCAGCCTCCGTCGTCTGATTGCGGCCACCGACACCTCGAACCGACGCCGCGGCTGGAACGTGAACTGAATGTTTGGACGGATCGCGCCAGCTGCTGCAGGCGGTCTTAAAAAGTGATTTTTATTTCACTTGATTCGTAGTTGGATCGTACCCTGGAGAAAACGCTGGTTCGGTCCGCTCCGGTTTCGCCGGAACGACCCATACCACTGACGTCTCCAGTCGTTGGGCCCGTATCAGAATGGAGTTCTCGGGAGGTTCTCCATTGGTTGGAGCACTCACTCCATCTATCCGAGTACAGAGAAGCTTTTGTTAGACACGATATCCAGGTAAGGAAGCTGTTATTTATTCAACTCTGAGGCTGCACACGCCCGTTTGTTTCCCGCAAGGAGGAACAACTTTCAACTTCGGCATTCCTTACTCGCACAGGGAGCAGAGCTTGTCAACCTCGAACGCAGAGATCTGGAACAACTAGGAGTAGCGAAGGTACGAGGTAGCTGCAGTCGTGTGTTGTGCTTACTCGAGCAGCTGCCTTCTCAAATATGTATACGCATGGAGTTTTTAATGATAACAGGTGGGCCACGCCAAGAGGATACTCCGTGCGATTCACGATCTCATTCGAGAATCATCTCGACCGTAACCGAATTCCTCCGGTTCGTGGAAAATTCCTGGATCAGCCGCATCACAGCCTTTCGACTATGAGCATTAATGACTATGCAACCGAACTGACTCGGCACGAATACCTTCATCAAAATCAGCATCGGCGAAGACAAGCTTGCGACGATGGCAGCGAGTGCTGCTGGTCCTAGACACCGTCAGCAGCAGGAACAATAACGAAAGAATTATCTTGATCACCATAAAGCATATTATTACCATATACATGCTATTACGAATGTAATCAAAAGAAGAACACTTATCCGGCACTCTCACTTCGATCGCCCAGCGATAACCTGGATGGCAGCAGGACACTTTTCGGTCCAGCCTCTTGCGGCGGGGCTTGCATTCAAACCAATCGCGATTGCCCACTCCTCATTACCTGCCTTGACGTATAGCTTCACTTTCTTGAGTCGTTCGTAATCGAGAGTATTGGATTGGATGCTGTGAGAGACGATGGCACTACATTTATCATCCAGGAGCCGTAAATGATTTCCCTCTGCGAACTCGCCGTGTCACTCTCCCGAACACAACAAGCATCGATGCATCCTTGGAGACGATGCGCATAAGACAAGTGACAACTTGCTGGCCCGAATGCGAGCTGAGCGGGATTCCCCTGGCCGTTCAGCCGTTGCGTCGGTAGGTTTCTGCAGCTTTGGCTTCTCGGTATTTAAGTCCTCAGACGAGTACCGAGATGAGAACTCATGAATCATAAGGTGTTAGCAAACGGAGGAATCAACAAACGTTGCGCAAATCAGTCAGTGAACAGGTCGGTCGGCTTCTGACAGTCGGCTGAGCTATAAACAATTAACTTAGTAGAGAGTAGCACACCATCTACACGCTTTCGAGGGAATGGAGGGGGCAGCTGTTTTCTTGGGGAGCTGATGGAGATACATGAGTCGATCAGAGTACGGTGCGTATCTTGAATTTCGAAAAGTTCCTGCTGTGTGTTGGCCTCTCGACAATAGCTTAGGAGATTCACACTGCAGCAGCTCGAAGGACGCTTCGGAGAGTACTCTGATAGCGGACTTCCTCGGGAGATCCTTTGCCATGATTCCAGCGAGTGCGAATGCAGGAAAAATGCGGGAACGATACCAGAACAGCGCTCTTGTCGATCATTTGCTCACCGTTCCCACTTACAAGTGTTCTCCGGAGTCATATACCGGAAGGATTTCGCAATGTCGGTGTAGTTTTTCGGAAGAATTCGGAGCAGATGATGAGGACATTCTCGAAGACGTCATCGATGAAGGAACGGGCACTCAGTCAATGAGTCACGCGAGAGCCGACTTCTGAGCGCATCGTGCACAATGAGCAAAATGTGGTTCAACGGCACTCAAGCGTGCAGCGGTCAGTCTCGATCCTGGTCGTCTGCGAAATCGAACACACTCTCTGTCTCAATTCGTCCGAGCACGTTTGCTCTCCGGCTTTGTCCACAAGATGAGACCTCTTCGGTTGTCGTCGGTACGTGGACTCCTGGCGTCAGGTACCCGACTTAGGAAGTTGGAGTCCTTCGGCCGAAGAGAACTTGATCAACGGAATTTATACTCGAATGCCGAAACGTGAGGGGAGAATCGGGTGCGGACGAGAAGTGATCCCGCTGATTCTTCGTTGCCCCGGAATGTGATTCATGGGGCCACCCCCTATACGGCAGCGTCATTTTGAGCCGAAGTTAGAAACGAAAGAGACTCAAAATTAATATCCAGATATAAGTAACTAGCGACACCGAATTCCATCGCTTAGGGGAAAGGTGCGGAATGCGCGCGAGCGAGCACACAATCTCTTATGCACTCCGCATCAAGCGGAATACTACCAAAGTCTGACTCGATACGAGCTCTGGATCGATCGCCGTTCCCTTGCGTCGCCTCGCTGTTATCGTCTTCTCAGAACGATTCATTCGCTTACGTGCACATCATTACATATATATGTAGGTCGCTGCGGATGCTATTTCCCATCATGACACGCTCATATATTTTCTGATGAATTCCTCCCGGTTACTGAGCTATTTTTGCCAGAGTACTATATCACTTGGGGTCTTGGACTTGAATACAACAATGATCACAATGTGGAAGCAAACCGACTACGAATCTGGAACTCTCAAATCATATGAAGGAGTCGGTAAACTGTCTAGAGGTTCCTTCTCCTGAAATAGATCGAAATTCGCATATTCATCCATGTCGAGGACACGTCATCCTCAGCGAAAGGAGGTCTGTTGGACAAATGTCGCGGGTGCATCACGAAAGCGATTCACCGACCACCGAGCACATAAGCCTATCTGGGATGACTGAGACTCCTTGAATTAATGTCATCATCATCTGAATATACCCAAAGATGCGGTATGAATTGCGACAATAGCACATGGACCAAATAACAAAAGCAGACCAAAGAACGGAAGACTAAACAAGTTATTACTGAATATCTCAACCACAATCTTGAAAGCGTTTGTTATCACAGCTGTGCCGCTGGAGCTGTTTGTAGACTTCGCGTGAATGTCGATTTGGGGGTAAGATTCACAACACACATATGTTCATCCAAATCTGATTGATCGAGGAATCAATCATCCGGATGCGATTCGTCCCGTTCGCCTCCTTTTCCATGCTGGAGCTCCTATTATATTTCTGAATATCATGATTCACTATCGTCAGTTCCGCTGTCACTATTATCACAATGAATGATATCAGCACTATCTACTACCGCTGCTAGTATCGTCTCCTACACTTCCGAATGGAAATGACCGCAGCAGGCATCGCTCATGTAATATTCTAATCGCCAATGCATTCAGACTTTTTCGAAGATGTCGAACTTCGAGGCGTGTCTCACGGGTGGGGGTAGATGAGCAAAGATTGTTTGACCTCAAGGAGATGATGCTTGTCCCCTTCTGAGCCCATTTGGAACTTTGGCGCAGCGAAACGTTTTCCAAACAAGATCCGTTTTCCGCGGCCCCTCATCTCAAGGACATCCGCTGATGTTGGGCTAAGCTCTTTCTACCAAGTCAAATGATAGGTCTCGAGCCGTGGAAAGAGTCTGTTTTTCCGCATGTTTGGCATTCACCAATCAATACACTCGAGAAAGTTACAAGCCCCCATGGAGCGATCGCAATGTCTCGCACAAAGATTACGATGAGATCGACAGCATCACACGAAAGAATAAACAGAACATCGGCTCTTCTCATGACATTACGCTTACCAGCACTTCACTAAAAATAAGCGTGTCCAAATCGTCATCGAGGGTCCAAAGTGGGGGGGTCTTCGCGGGGCAGCAGACGTTCGCCTCTTTGTTCGGTCGCTTCTACGCTCGCTGAGTGAGTGGAACTCTCCGTAGTCGGCTGATGTACGGGCAGCAGCGTCACATGACCTAAGTTTGTTCACTTAGGGTGGATGAGTAAGTCAGTAAGTGAGTCATCTGGTTGGCCTATGGATCAGTCAGTGACTCCGAAATGTTTATATAACATATTCCTCCTATTGCATGTCTTCTGTTGCCCGCCCACATTTTTACTGTTGATGATGAGGATGTTGATGGAGATGACAATTACAATAATGATGTTGAGGACGACGACGATGATGATAATAATGATTATAATAAAATTTGACCCTATCTTGAATCTATCGCGTCCCTGTCTTTATTTTTCCACCAATGGAGTTGGCGCAAGGATTGCAGCGGGACGAAGTCTTACTCAATCATCGATGCCTGTCCGCAAGTCCCTCGTGAACACGATATATGACCCAACTGAAGCTGAAGGATTAGAGGGTGAACGATGGAGACGACTCCCTCGCCGGTTCCTCTGTTGTTTGGATCGAATCGATATATGTACTTGCGACGGCCATAGTCGGGTCTCGTCAGACCTCGCAAGTAAAGCCACCCTCATAAAGACAACAAACTTAATAGACACGAATAAACACTGTCCCGCTCTTCTGCGGGTGCAGACATTCGGTCTGGCTCTCGAGAGAACTCGACATACAATTCAGAAGCTGGACCTCACCAGCGGCTCCGACAAGAACTAAACAAACCCGACTCGGGAGAGTGTCTCCGGTAACCAAACATTCTTGTTCGGGGGATAGAGCGCTTGCCCGGACAAGCGACCACCGGAAGGAATGAGATAGCGTCGTGCTTCGCCCCTTCGCTGACCATGATTATCGGGAGTCGAGGGGACGGCAAGCGAGGCATAACGAGGCGCGACCGTACTGCGGTATTATAAGTCGGTATTTCCTCCCGAAAATCGGATATTTCATGCCGAAGAAGTCCGGAAACTCGGTACTCGGGCGGGATCATGACAGTCGCTCCCGACTCGGAGACTCCTCCATGAGTGATGCCTAGAGACTAGAGGCTCGAACTTTTTACGCTAATTCGATAAAGTTCCGGGGAGAAACTCGTTCTTCGGCGAGTAGAGTAAACTATCGCAAGGGAGGGCCCGCGCAGCTCGCACCGACCGAGTACTTCAGGTTATTAGATGCTGGGTCTGGATCCCGCTCCCCTTCACAATCCAGTCGCTTCAGACCTCGACTTGCATCCTCAGGACTATATTTCATGCAAACGATTATAATATACCCTCTCGATGCATTCCTCATATGAAGATTCATAAAGATTCTAGATTGGGGATTTCATTGGAACACATGAGATCCCCTATGACGTCACGTCTGAGCACATCTTTCGCTCATTGGCAGAAAAGGCGCGAGTGAGCTTCCTCGACGTCACTCGGACAAACGAGGATGACTGCAGGATTTGAACGGTGGGATCCGGATCATGGAATGGAGCCTGAGAGATACTCCCGGCAGTAACTCTGAGATCTGAGTTGGTAGGGTTCGAGCGCGGACGAGCTCGTACGATGGAGGGCATCGGGAAGATTACCGAGCGTAATCCCTCGTCCTACGGTGGAGATTCGAATCGGGGTCAAACCACGGACATTGAGCGGCCCATGGTCTCGGAAACTGCAAGAGTGCCGGCCCCGGCTCCAGCCTCTTCAGGAGATCGCTCCCACCGGGAAGCATGCGAAGATCCCAAATCAAAATCGTAACAATCGCGGAAGACCTTCGGCAGACGTCTTTTCGGAGGACCCGCGGTTGGGACCGAATAGTGTTTCGCCGTCGCGAAGCGGGGACTTCTTTCCGTCGGCAGCAATGCGAGGCGGGCGCGAAACAACTCCACTTGGACGTCCAGTTCACTTATACCTAGGTATACTCAGACGGCGACAACGAGTCTTTTCTCTAGCTGATCGATCCACTCTCCGTCTACGCTCCGACTTGAAATTTTCTTTTCGATCGGATACCACGACGCATCTTTCCGAAAGTGAGATCCTTTCGTATCCCCGATTTTCTCTGACTCGCCAGAAAGTTCAGGATCATCAGTGCGCTTATAATGTGAACTTTGGGGCCAGGTTCATGTTTCGAAAAGTCAATTGTTCTGTTTTCACAACCTAGTTGTTGACAGCGGCTCGATTGGAAATCCGGATGGGTGCGCGTTGATGGGTCGCTGGCGATAGACCCTCTTCGCCGCTTCTTCACCGGATGCCTCCCTCGCGCCGAATGGTAGGCAACAGCACCTCCCGTCGCTTCTTTCTTTCCGTTCATTCCCTCTCCTTCACGTCGTCTCTGAAGACATTCGGAGTTCTGTCGACGACCCGGCGTAGAATCGCTTAGCGTTGAGCTCCCGCTCATGCTATGCCTCAAAATACTTCTGTAGTGGCGGTAACTATGATATTGAATACTGTTCTCGTCATGCTGATTGCGGCGGTCACGGCAAGTCTCGCCGGTAAGTCCACTTCCGATTTCGCTTCGCGCTCCTACTTAGGGAGCCTAATCAACCGACCCGGCCGCGGGGCCCCGATACTAAACTTCTACGGTCGTGAATAATTTCCAATCAAACACTTTTTGTTGACGATCAGCTGATTTTGCCCGTCTCCTCGACTTGATGATGTCGTAGTAGACTTATGCCTTTTTCTGGCGCTCGTCAATCTGCCGTCTGCTGGACGCGATGTGAGACAAACCTATCCATGAGATTCGATCCATGAGACCTGACGGTGTAGTAGCCATAGTGGGCCTCTCAGAATGTTCATTCATGACGATATCCCTAATATACGCCCTTGGAATTACTCCATACCTCGGATCCCGAGCTAAGCCTGCACCCACTAATGGCTCTACCCGACAGCGGCCGAGAGAAAGCTCTTCACCGAATTCGAAGCCCTGTGCGACGTTGGAACAACTCGTCGACGATTTCGAGTCAGCATCCCCGAAGGCTTCGGCTCGAGGAAAATGCTCTGAATCCCGAACTCTGTTCGAGATCATCTCTTTCCCAACGCAAGCTCCGTGCTCGAATCCGAGGCGCGGCGGGGCGGGGGGGG